TGTTAAGCTATTTGCAGTAGTTTTTAAAATTCCACCTTAATGAAGGCCCTAGGTCATGATGACGTGCTGCTCCCCCAGGAACATCATGCAAGCCCAAGCTTAAATCCAAGAGCAGAGTGGTCCGTGATGGGGGCTGCCACACTGTCACAGTGCCAACCATGCTGCTCCTTAAGGAAGGAGGGTTTCCAGCCTAAGCCTGGGTGTGTTGCTGAGTGGAGATCTCATGGCAAGTCTTCCTAGAGTTCTGCCATCAAAGCAAAAGTGGGGGAACATGAAATAGGCATCCGTCTTAGAAGCTTCTTCAAAGTTGTCAATTCAGTACAGAATACTGAGTATATACAAGACTATGGTAGTACTTCAGTGAGAGGACAAACCTCACTGTGCCTTTTTCTTGGGGAATCCAGGGGAGGAGGCAAGTAACCCTTTCACAGCCTAAATATGTACTTGTTCATGGCACTCAGTGTCCTGAAGGGCCTCAGCATCCTGGCAGCTGTAGTTGACAGTTCAAAAATATGTACAAGGTAAGCAGAACGCCATGAGTGTCGCAAAACATGGCAAAGGAGCTCTACAACCTATCCAACAAACACAGCAAACATCAGCATCTAATGGGTAACACAGGGTATACAACACCCACGTTGCACAGTTATGTTTCCTTGCAAAATCAGGACTGTGCATGTAAACTCCAGAAGTTCAGCACGAGGCTTACTCGACACCTCTGGAGACATCACAAGTCCACCACCCCTCGAGCACTGCATCTTCTGCTCTTGCATAAACTGATCTCACTGAACCAAGCAGAGCTAGTGGGCCCCGTCCTGCAACCCATATGACTGTAGCAGAGGATAAACAAAAATGCTCCAGCAACACAGTTTGGCTACCACTGTATATTCAGCTTTTATGGTGCCTGCACTATATAAATGTTGCTCTTGGAAAATAAAGCACACAGAGATATACAAATGGTATCAGTGGCGAAAAAGATTACATGATCAAGCCTGAAAGCAAATGGAAGTTAACAAAAGTAGTCTTTTGGGAGAGGTAGCCATATTAGACTCAGCATTCAAAAAAAAAGGGAGTGCACTCAAAAGGGTCAACATACATTATAATGTCTTGTAGACCCATCATCTGGCTTCCTACATCATTTTTTTGCAGAATGTACACACCCAGGCACACACACGCACACACACACTCTCCCCCCCCGCCCCCCATATATACACATCTAAATTATTTTCTAATTCCCCTTTGTTGCCATAATGAGAATAAAGGACAGCTTTCCTTACATGCTCTTAGCTGCCCCCATGTCTATAACTTGCTTTCAGTTGGTTCAGTATCTGTACAGTAGCTAAACAGGCAGTGGAAATTAAAACTGCTTCAATTAATATCCTGTTGCAAAAGACAGCATCCAAACTATAAGGCATTCCCTTGTACTGACGTGACTTACAACTCTCTACTTGGTACAAACCACAGAATGCTCTTCAGCCTTGTGCTACTAAGGCAGCTTTCACCCAAATAATAAAGACCAACGCTGGAATTTAAACACCACAAATCCACACACTTCTACCAGTCCCTTGTTCTTGTGCCCCTTTCCAGCAACGCTTATCACTTTAATTTCAAAAGTCATGCAACAATGCTATAAAAAAGAAACCCAAACTACCAAGAAATCTCTTGCTCCTGACTTTGGGATACCGTATTAGTATAAAAGAGCATTCAGAGAGCTTAAATAAATATATTCTTTTCTGAAATCACAGCACATTCAAGGGGTAGTTACTGCCAAAAGCAGAGCATTAAGTAATCTCCATAGATGTTTTCAGAATAATTTAGTCAGAAAAGACCTGTAAGATATGAAGTTTTGATTGATTTGGTCTAATACCTGGAAAATAGTCTACTGTGGGGATAAGAATCTGCATCTCAAATGTTCTGCAGAACATATTTCCCATATTTGTATACAGTACTAGAACAATTAAGAAAACATTACAGTAATTTTCTCCCAGCTTCTCAGATCTGTAGCTTCGGCTATGACAATGTATTTTGTATGCCTCAGAACTATGAAATATCAGAGATGACTAAATAAATAAAAGCCAAGGAAAACTGGGACAGTACTGCATCTTACACTTGAGACAAGATTCCCCCCTCCCATGGATAAGTCACAGAGGACAACTACAGTAAATGCTTGTCTTTTTTTTTTTTTCAAAGAAAGATTTATACACAGGTTCAGATCCAGAAAATAATGTGAAATGCATAAATATTGATAGCTTTAGCTAAGTTAAAATGGGTTCAGTAAAGTATGATACAACATATTCAGAATAAACAAAGCAGAAAAGCATCATATTTTGGTTTGCTTGAGATATACATAAGGTGCAACAATTTCTTCTCTAGAGGCATTTGTGGACAACGTGTTAACAGGTAACAGTGTTTGCTGGTATACTGAAGTACACACAATAGCAGTAAGATTTTCCAAAATGAAAGCAGCTGAAATTAATAAAAATTAAAACAAAACAAACAAGGAAAAAAACCCAATCCCAATACAGTAAAGATATTGGTCTGAAGTTTTTGTTGTGCTAACAGACTTTGTTACCTGAAAATACTGATACCCCTTCTAGTAGATTCAGGGAAAATTCTAGCTACTCAAATCAAGACATCACTCAGAGAACCAACAAAGGCAAATGCCTAGTGAACTATAAAGCTTTGCAGGATTTCTGCTACTCTCAGTGCCTAATCGCTTAAAAATTAAGCATATCTACAAAAAGGTTTGTAAGTATCTGAAAACAGTCATATCCAGTAAACTGACCCAACCCTACCCCCTCTCTAAGGGAAAGTCAAGGAAAAGCAGATCAAGTAAGATATTAATTAATATAGAAAAAAGTAATTTTCTGTTTCTTTTAAAAAAGGTACCATTAATATACAGAAATATCTCCAGGAACAATATTGAAATTTAAATCGAGGAAGGATGGGGTGCTTTGACAAAAATATATCTACTCTAAAGGTTTCTAGAGAAATAAGTTAGTACCATTGTCAACGTGAACGGCCTGCACTGTAACATATTTGGATTTCAGCTAATTATAAAGTGGTCCAAAACTCCAAAAGCCACCCTGCTGTGACCCACAAGTTTTAAGTAATTTAAATTTTTCCTGTCTTGTTAAAATAACTTATAAAACTTTAATAAAATCTTATTTAAAATACCACCATAGGCTGCAATGGCATTCTAGGGGCTCTTAGACATTTAGTCACCTGAATTTTTAAAAAAGCCTTTTCACGGACTCATTGGTCTGTAAATTTTGTTGTTCTTCTCTTGTTCCCTTCTTTCACCACATGCATCCTCGGTGTTGCTGTTTCAGTGACACTTCCCCAGCTATGTGCCTTTTGTCAGACCTTAAAACTCTTGTGGTACATTGTATATTGTTTCCTGACACTGAACCAGAGACTTTCACTTAACTACAACAATGAAAGGCTAAACGTAGCAAGCATTAATAGTTACTGTCCATATGGCTATTACATCAAATTAGTTACAAAATAACCTCAAAACACATTATCAATTCAGTCAAGTATAAATAAGAATGCCTGATAGAATGATGTAAACTTGCATCATTTAAAGACTTAATTCAAAGAACTTCAAACTCAATCTAATACTATCAAAAGTTCAGCCGGTATGACGAAGACTAATAGAAAATTATTGCTGGAGTCCAATTTGGTAAATTGTTGTGCTACAATGAAAAAGTAGGGAAACATCTTGTGCTATAGAAGAAGTACCCTGTTGAATTTGTAGCTTTAGATCAATTACTAGTGATCATTTTGCATCTATTGGTAGGAATCAATGCTTGGTTATACAATAGTTTAAGTCAGAATAGTGAAGGTAACAGGCCAAGTGATACACTTGGCTTGCTTTTGGGATGCATTTATGAGAGCAAAACACAAAAATTCAACACAAGCAGAGACAGAAACTGGCAGATGGATCTGTTTGGTAGTCTGAATTCAGTCAAACGCTACTCTTCAGTTGTAGTTTAACTGTATACAGCTTTCCACTTTACCAACACAAACTGTAATTGGCCCTTTATGCAAACTCTGAAGCTGATTTGGACTGTGCATAGTAACTACAACAATGCCAGTGTCTGTAAAATGTAAAAGGAATGTGTACTGGTGTACACTGTATCGAAAAGTCATGGTTTTAAGTTATTCAGAACTGTGAAATAATACTAAGGTCACTTTTGAAAAACACATTTGCAGTACTTTTTGTTTACAGGAAAGTTTCACCAAGTCACTCAAATATCTATGCAAAAATAAAGGAACCCTCCAAGGCATGAAAGACAAGTCAATTATCTGCAATATTTTCTTTTCCATACACCACACCTTTTTCTAATGCACATCATCCTGGTTATTCAAAGCTAAATTAAAAAGAAACAAACCCAAACGTAGCCTGTCAGAACTTTTCCCAGTAAACTCTACCACTCTGGTGGCAAATATAAAAGTGCAGAACATCTGGACCACGTGGCTGCCCAAACACCGCTAACAATGGTACATCTGTCCAGGCTGCCTTGAGTTCTCTGGAACAGGTTTTAAATTCATTCTACAATATAAACGTAGGCATAACCTATTAATATAAACCATCTTAGAACTTAAATCTTCATGTACAAAAATGACTAAGAATATCTAATAGTAACTAGTGCAGTGCGTCAGTGTTTTTGTTTTTTGTTTTTTTTTTTTTTTTTTTTTTTTTTTTTTAATATTTTTTTTTTTTCTTTTTCATTTAGAATAACTAGATATTATATGAAACTAGTTGTCGTACTCTCTGGTTGGTAAAAGAGATGCTGTGTGAGCTAACAGTAAAGGCAGCCTTTTTCACACCAACCACCTGGTTACTGTTTAAAAGCCTTCAATAGAAAGCAAGCTCTGGGATCATTCCACTCCATTTCAGTTCATTAATAGACAATATCACCCTCCTACACACTGGGTTCCAATTTGAGGACCTGGCCCAAGTTGCTAACATCTGGCTTCCAGTGAATTCTGGGCCATTCAGAGCAATAAGCACTTTATTGCAGTCTCTAGTTCCATCATATGGACTGACTAGCTTCCCTTGGTAAAGACAAGGCTAGGATATTAGGTAAAGCACAATGTTTTACAATAAAGTGGAGCTTCACTGGTCAGCGCAGGAAATCAGCACTGGAGCCTGAGACATTTCATTTGGCTGTCCATCATGTGGGAGAGGTGTGGCCCTCTGACTTCTGCAAAAGAAGAAAAGAAAAGCCACCCATCAATACTTGGAGCACAGGAGGTGCAGAGGAAGCAGCAGCTGTAGGGTTTAGCACAGGGCAGCAGGGTAACTCCTCACTGCTGCAGGTGCTCACCTGGTCACACCTGCTTTCAGAGGCGTTCCTGACCAGTAACACAATATCCTGAGGACAAGCTGCATCACAATGCAAAGGCAGGAAAAATCAGATGTGATGGCATTTGGCTACACAAAGCAAAATCCACAGCATAAGAGTGAGTTAAGAGCACACAAGTGCTGGGACTCATTTTGCAAGGGAGCTGCTGCAGCCCTCAGAAGCAGAGCATACAGCATGTGTGCCAAAAGGGAAATGCACAGACACACAGATCATGTTAGTGAGAGTCAACAGACAGCTTTTAAGCAATATGGAAATATACTCATCAGCAGAGTGGCACTGGGATTCCTCCACGTTACCTGACTACTTCATTACTACATTACATTATTTCATTACTACAGCAGTGTTAATTTACAAATGATCCCTTGGCACAGGGTATCATAAAAATTAATGATGCCAGAATTATAAGCTGGAAATCAACATCAGTCATGGTACCAAATGGGACTTGGGAGAACTCCTTTGCAGTTTTTCTTTTAAAATACATACACCGGGCATGTCATTGCCTGTTATTTACTCTCAGAGGTGAGGTTCTATTTTTGTTACAGTATTTGTCATTGGTAGCAATGAAAATCTAAGGCTTGCTTCTTATTTACACCAGGGACACTTTACCTCACTCTGGCCCAGCTAAGACCCCTCCACAGAAATCCCCAGCAGAAATCCCCATGTGCTTCACACAAGGGAAGTGCAATGAAGTGGCCTTGGCACAAAATGCACCTCAGACTCACAGTGCTTAAGCAGGGCATGCACAAGGTAAATAAAGATAAGCAGAAGTCTTTAAATGAAAACCATGCTGCCAGAAGGATTCCGTGTCCCAAGGCTCTATGAAGCTATTTAATAAATTACATTCAGATGCTGAAGAAATACATCAAGCAAACCCCCAATTCTTTTCTTCACATTTCTGGCTATTTGCAAATAAAGTGAGTTAAAAAAGGTAACAACAGTTGACAGAATAGAAAACAGAGAAGCACCTAGCCTGTAAGATTGAGGTTTCTAGTTTGACTTCCATTTGCCAAGTCAGTGAGAGACGTGCCCAGCTGTCTACTGGAGGACTCCTCCCCTGTTGTCACTTCACATCCCTCAGGGTGATTACAAACTGGCTTGTGGGATATTTGCCCATTTGGCATTTTCAGACCTTATGAAAGGTGCTGCATTGCCCAAACTACATAATGACATACGATGGGATTCAAAGAGAAAGACCCAAGCACAAAGCTCTGCAAAACATTAGCTGGTTTCAACAAGGACAAAAGGAGGACAAGAACTCTTGAGAGGCACAAGGAAGAAAAACCACAGCAGAGCAAATCCTGTTGCTTTTGTGCATTTCTGGTCAGTGTGAATGGCAGTCAATGAAACCACAATGGTGTGAGTGAGAGCAGAGCTTAGCACAGCACTTCCACAGTCCCATTTTGTGGCTTATGATGACAGACAGCCCAACTGCAGTGTGAAACCACTTCTCACCCAAAACTACACAGCTTAAGCAAGACAACAGCTTCTGCAGAGAGGAACCAGCAGATCTGTTTCTTTTAGGGTTCCTGATCTTCTAAAAAGCCTTTGAGCATTTGATGTGCAGCCTGAACACAAAGCACTGGGTCCATCAATGGGGCCCATGAGAGGAACAGTTAATTGAGGTTGTGAATGGTTTCATGAACTGCTGCCTTGAGGAGTTGCTTAGGCAGCCAGCAATCTGTCAAATGGCATCTGCAGAGGCTGAGGTGGTTTCAAAGTGGCCCAATGTTTCCTTAATGAGTTTCCACTGCAGGAGAAGATGGAGTTTTATAGGCAGTAAGTTCCATGAAAGAACAACACTGGATAATCAAGAGCCAAGGAGGACCTGCTGTCATTGCTTTACTCTCACAAAGGTCTGACCATGCTGAACTGATTCATAAGCCCTGAGTAACCTGCACATTCTCCACCTTATCTGCATGGATGGCCTACTCAGCAACTGAGAGAACCAACCCAGACTACCCTGGCTTTCCATCACCCAGAGCTGTTCTGCCCCATGCTATTCTGCAGATGCTTTGCCTTCTACACAGCAAAGCACAAGAGTAAGAATAACTAGTTAGCTTCCCTCAGCCATGTTCAGCATTAAAAAAAATCTCAAAACGTATGAAATTCTCTCCATCGTTTTAGGTGTTTAAGGCCACTAGAAAATGCCAATCAGAGTGCACTAGCTATTTAAATCTCCTATTACCTGACACATAGCATCTGATAATTTTTTCCCATTAGGATCTCAAGGAGTATATGAACCTGTTTACATACAAAAACTGGTACATCACCTTACTGAGAAGATCATTTTACTAACTGCTAAAGAGATTATACTATCATTTAGGTGAAGAATTAACACTACTAAGCAAGTGGGATAAAGCAGACATTCATAGAAAGCTGTGGAAGAGGAAACACAGGCCAAATTAAACAGTCTGCTATTCACATGCTTTCTGAACAAGCTGTCAGCCACATACTATTTACTTAAGATAATGAGAAGAAAAGAAAACCATACCTGTGTACATTTTCCATGGCTGCTACTTCTGCCAGAGCAGCTAAGCTAAAAAATGCAGACACCGCTGGCATATCTGATGTAATACTATGATTTTCTTCTGTCTCTGTGTTTCTGGAGCATTCACTGTTGCAATCTGTTTCTGCACTCGATGATTTTTGAAGAGTACTTTGTGGCAGCTCTTTTGGCTTCTCCTCTGCAAAGAAAGAAAGAAAGTTAAGCATGCATAATCCATAAATTCACTGCAGCCTATAGATATGCTGACTAGTCTGGTGTAACCAGAACCTGTATCTTTAGGACTTTGATTCTGCCAGTGACATCTGGTTAATGTTGTAACCTCTTCTGACTTTAGCTACTGGGTCAGAAGCACTAGCAAGTACTAAGGCTTATGAAGCAGTTTACTGATTTTGCATTCAACTGAATTTGATCTCTTTGGTCAGGCAAGAGAACTTTTGTGTATATTTTAGATATAGTAGTCCTGAAAGACTATCTTACTGGAGAACTCCAACAAGGACTCTTGGCATTAACTGTCATACTGTGAAATTCAGTTTTACAACCTATAACCAGGTGCAGTACAATTTCTTTGCTGGACTGGAAACAAATTGTCAAAGGTAGCCATTTTCCATTTCTCTTTGCACGAGTTCACAGTTCTTAGAGTGAAATACCCAGGGAGAAGAGACAAATTTGGTCATTCAAACAAAAGTTGGCCATTATGGACTCAGTGATTTCCCAGTTGGTGAATACCCGTATGTTAAATAATAACCATTCTAAGCAGGTAAGAAAACAAGCTAATTAAAAAACACTGCCCTCATGATAGGTTGCTTGTACTCTCAAACTTTCTCCAACCATTCAGTTTTAATGAAATTTTAACTCCAATTTCCTTACCCAGTGTCCCTGCTGCTGGTGACACTCGCCCATCTGCTGTTCGGACAAGATGTGTGATCTTCGTTTTCCTTGCTTTCCTTTTCTGGCTGCCAACTAAAGGCTCATGCATCATTGCTGGCTCTGGAGTGCTTAGGGCAGATATAGAAATTTTATTCTTCCAGGCAGACTCACTGGAATTTCTGTCTTCTAATAGTATGGCTGGAAGAGAATAAAAATGCAACTTCAGATGTAGAATAATTCGGTCACTAGCTATGCTCATTTTGCATGTATCTGCATAAAACTGTTCCTCACAGGTACTCAAGAGCATAACCCATGCCAAGATATGATCTGAATGCCACAAATGTTTGCAGTGAAGTAATAGAATGCACCTTAAAGATACACTGAAGGTTCAAGTTTCTAGTATTTGCCAAGAAAACGGTGAGATTGGCAGTGGCACTTGAGCAGGAGCAGGGTATTGCTCTGTATAAAACATTTTGCAACAGAAGATGTCAGCAAGTGGCTAAGAGACAAAATGTATTTAAGGAACAAGGGTCCTCTAATAAGCTTATCTTAGCTCACAGATGGACTGACAAGCAGAATTCAGCAATTCCTGGCTAAAACCTAGCCTTACCTCTTTAGTCACTCTACCTCAGCTCCTTTAAGAAAGGGAAATACTGCCTTTTACAAAATAACAAAGCTTAAAAAACACCCCAAAGGCTGCAAATAAAAAAAGCACAACTGGACCACAGATGAAGACAAGCATGCTAAAAGAAGGAAGTAAGCATGGGACAGAATACCATGACAGAAATACTGGCCATATAAACTCAGAGAATGAGAAAGGAACAGTTTAAATCTTTCTCAGCAGCTCCAGTGTTGGTGTTCTGAAGCAGCCTTTTACCCCAAACTGGAACATGATCCCAAATTTTCACTCGACTAAAGAGTTTATTTTAATCTCATTCACAAAGAAATTGGTCAGACAGCAATCACAAAACATACTTAAGCTTCCAAAGTCTGAGCTCAGTGCTTAGTGGTCAACTGTTTGCAATTTGCATTGATTCAAAAAGCCATTCTGCTGATCCCACGGGGTATCACTAGTACATAAAGGCAATCTGTGACATCTTTTTCCCTCCTGTGATAAAGTGCTATGAAGCCTGCCCCATCTATTATCACTTGTTATCACTGTCAGCTAGGGTTAGAAAGAGGCAACAAGTAGCAAATGGAATGCTCAATTAATTTTTTACAGGTGCCTGTCTAACATGTTTTGAAATTGGGAACACTCATGGTAGATACCTGAACCAAGTTCTTGAGGTTTTTTTTTCCCAGTATATCGACATTCTGAATGATTATGTATTTTTTCCTAAATATTTTTTCCTGCACCTCCTCTCCCCTGCTGCATCTTCAATGCATTATTTCCTTTACTCCCTGTCAGGTTAGATCCCATCTCTTTGCAACAGTCCTTGATATATTTTCCACAGCTGTTACTGTGTCTACATTTAGCTTACTCTTCCCTCCAGTTTCTTTTAATCTTTCTCCCCATTTCAAAGACTTTAAGACACATTGTCACTTCTTGGGTGATTTGACCAGCAGAAATTACACACACAGAACTGAAGCCAGAGTACAAACAATTGCTCTTTAAGAAGGGCTAAGAACTAACAATTCCAATCTCCTGCACTGAGACTGGTGGTGTCACACAGGAGCATCCAGCCCCACTGTGCACAACAGCCTAACAGTCTGCAGGCCTTTGCCTTTCACCTCAGTGTGTATTTCTGTTTATTGTTAGTTTTGTAGATTTAATGAACATTTTATTCAAAGATGTTGCTCATAACTAACCTTTATATTTTGCTGGCTTTTTAAACTGTTGTTTATGTGAGGATGTGGACTAGATGAAGAGAATAGATGTAACACATTTCATCTTGCTAGCAGTTGCCCTTTCCTCTTCTGAGTGGGAAGGACCTTTGAATGTTTTATTGTCTAAGAATACAATCAGATCTAGTACATACAGAAACATGTACATACATACGCACAAACATTTGAAACGTTCCAAACTTTAATTTGTTTATGATTTTAATTCACCTGTGCTCTCTTGTAAAACATTTTTGAACTTGTGCATGTTCTTTGGAAAAAAACCACACAGCTTTAATTAGCATTTTGAAGTGCTTAGCTCCAGCTGCCAACCTTTCCAGAGCTTTGCCATAAAACTGTTTTATTTTTTTTTGAAAAGAGTGCTCAAGAGAAAGCCCAGGAAGAGATCCACCCTGTAACAGTCCAATTAAGTAAAAGCACCAATGAGTGCAAATGTGACTTTCAAGTAACTCAACTGGGCCAACAGTCAGATGTTCAGATAAGCTTTGTGCATCGAGACCAGGATATTAATTGGAATGTATAATTAAATGGGCAGCTTTCTCTCCAGATTTCTTATTTGGGAATTGATAAGCATTGATTATATTTTAATGTAATGGTCTGGTTGTAGTCCGACACTATCTGTTAACTCTGATTTGCTCTAATTAGCACTTTGACACTGCTGTCTACATCTAGCTTGATTGAGTTTATAATGCTTTTAATCTTAGTACTACAACTCACTTTTTGTCTTTTTACATAATAAAAAAATTAAGACATGATTTCAAATAATGAACAACATACAATTAAAAGAGACTTAATTTGGTATGCATTTAATTAGATGTGTTGTATGTCAGGTCACTAGAAATTAACTTGATTGATCACTAGAGCTGAGGGTTCCCTTTTATATTTTTCTTTCTCATATTGTATGTGTCAGAAAATAAAGATAAAAAAATACCTTGAAAAGTAAAATAGACAATAGTGGAAGACATAAGAATATATGATGCTGGCATGTTTGACTAAGAAACAGCAGAAGGTGGCTGTAAAAGCTCTGATGCAGTAAATATAGTCCCTCTCCATGTTTTTATCTTGTTTTATATTCCCTCTCCCAAGTTTTTTTTTAATCCTTGAAATCAGACTTGAAAGTTTTCTACTTTCCTTTTCTCCTCTAGCTCTAAAAGAAGCTCTTTATCACTTCAACACAACATTGCTGCCATACAGCCTTGAAGAAGGAAGGATTGAAGGTGAACAATGAGTATTTTGTGTGTGTGTGGGTGCAGGGTGAATGTTGAAGGGAAGAGCATCTTTTTGTCTTCTCCATCAGTTTTAGTGGACACTGGGTTTAGAAATAATTTCAATGACTTCTTTACAGAGTATTATTCAAGCAGACATAAAACTTAACTTAGAAATCACACGAAGTCTTCACTAACAAGACCTTTGTGCTGACCTCTAGGGGAGAAAGGAGCCCATGTTTCAACAACTCTACATCTAAACTATGTGTTCCTGCACCTTCTTCAAGGGGAACAGCATCCCACTGCTTCAAGTGACAATGGTATATCCATACAGATGCTCCAAATCAGGACCTGGCTTTGTTCTGCAAGCCACATTTAATTCTCTGTAGTTTTTCTTAATTCATTTGACATCCATTCTGCTTCCACGCTGTCCTGCATTCAAGAGCTGTCCCAAGAGGAACTCAGCTAATTTTCAGGGGGACACTGTCTAGACATGAAATGAGGTTCTGCAGTTACTGTGCAGTCCTGCCAATAGGTCACTGCATGCTCAGCTCTCCATGACAGTGGAGAACTACTGGGCTATCTTTGCAAGCAGAGATGAGAATATGCCATGAAGGTGTGGCATGCCTACATTGTGGTGGCAGAAATTACTGAGAGACATATCCAGAGGTCTGTGCCAGATGGTTCCCTCAGCTAGGCTTGTTAAAGTTTTGCACAGACAGTTTATCCTATTCTGCAGGCATGCAGAGTATGTGTAGTCTTATTTCCCCCCACCTCTGTGAACAAGAAAAACAAAGTCAATTGAACTGACTCACCACACCAAAGCTTTTCAGATGAGCTTTCCAGACCAAACTCCAAAAAAAACCACTGACTTTAAAGAATTTCTTTAGTGATGCCTGTTATGAGAGAGAGCTGCAGAAGTTTAACCACACTTAGTGGGTCTAAGCATGCTGGTATCAAGGAAGAAAGGTGGGCTGTAAAGATTTAATTGTCTTTATAAATATAAACAGTGAAAATTTAGCGAGATAGGGCATTGCTTCAAGTCATCAATGTCTATGGAACTGTGGCAAGCACATTCCTCTCCCTCTCAGGATTTTCATAGAGATGAACAGAGAGAAATGAAAAAAACAATTTCTATTTCTGCTCCTTGTTTTTTCTATATGGAATGTGTTTGGAGAATTGTTTCCGTGGATGAAGTGCTTGGTTGGATTCTGGTGAGGATTGTTTGAGCCTGATGGCCAATCCAACCCACCTGGGGCTGGACTCTCAGAGAGGGTCACGAGCTGTGTTAGAGTCAGAGGAAGCAGTATGTAGTTTGAGAATCCTCCTTTTATATAGTATACTGATGTATTTAGCATAGTTATAATAAAGAAATCATTCAGCCTTCTGAATTGAGTCAGACATTGTAATTTCTTCCCATTGGGTTTGCCTGCATTTACAACACAGAACCACTTCACCCAGGAAATGATGCCAAACAGACTGAACTGGCAGAAATTCCAGCTCTTCTGACAATAGGACACTGCTACAATACTGCTCTGGGGCCAGGCAACATGCAGAGATGCAGCAGGGACTGGGGACTAACAAGCAGAGATGCAAAGCAGCAGATGGTGAAACCAGGTGTAGGAGACACTGCTGCAGGAGCCTGTCCTGATCCAGCCAGAATAGCTGCCAAACACACAGAGCTCCTGGTTCCCTGTGGGCTGCAAGCCCCACAAAACAGGGCTCTGATGTGTGGGAGAGCTGCTGTAGGAGCAGGCACAGTGACCAGGCTGCTTCAGTGTGAGCTGTGCTGTGTTCATCCTCTCTTCTCCCCACCCCGTGCCAAGGCCAGTGTTACAAGTGGCTGCCACACAGACCATGCAGGAGCCTCGGCACAGCTCACTAGATGTACCTGCAAAGATGCAATCACTGTGACTTGTTATTTTAAGTACTGCTTCCCATTGGGAAGCCTTTCTGGCATGGCAGAAAAAGAAAACTCCCACGAGTGTCAACTTTCCCAAACTTTCTCATGGGTCCAGCTGTGTTTCTCTCAGCCTTCCTAAGGAAGAGATGTGTCTCCTGACATATTCAGCTGCATTAATGTGTGCTCTCTGTAGCATTTCACTGGTGTTTAACTGGTTGTACCCCCTTCTCTATGAGCAGCTGCAAACT